GTGGAAGGGAGAGGGAGAGAGAAATAGAAACATCAATGATGAGAGAGAATCATTGATTGGCTGCCTCCTGCAGGCCCCACACTGGGGATCGAGCTACAACCTGGGCATGTGCCCCTACCAGGAATCGAACCATGACCTCCTGGTTCACAGGTCTATGCTCAAACACTGAGCCACACCAGCGGGGCACCATAATATCTATAATTGGGAGACCTTGTCAGTGACTCTACAATCAGTTTATAATTTAATCTTGCACAAGTCATTCATTCTCCATGGGCCTCAATATCCTCCTATATAAAATGAAGAGGTTGTACTAGATGTACCATTGTACCATTATCTTTCCAAATTCCAAAAGTATGCAGTTAAAGTGTTTGACTCTATAACCTAAGATGCAGGAATGTTAACAAACCCTGAGCCCCATTTAAATTTTCTTTCAGACTTGGTTTTGAGCTGTCATGAAATCATTACTTTAATATCTCCTGGCTTTATCACATCTATTCTCTTCTTTCTCTACAAGGCAAAGAAAACATAAAATCTACATATAAACTCTGCCATATAAATTCTCAAAAGTTATTGGAAAGAAAAAAAAGAAATTGCACTGAATTTTCTGTAGTGAGCTGTTTCAGGGCCTTTCACACCTGGCCTTTAAGCTTGCCAGTGGTAGAGATCTATAATGTTCTTCTAGTAGTGAGGTGGAGTTCAAGATTTTCATTCAACTCATCGTATACTTACTGGAGCTTCCTGCCTGTATTGTTCTGTGCTCGATGAAACTGCTTCTGCCCCCAATTTTCATCCCCTAAATTTGTATTATCTAATATCTTTTAAATGTTTTTTTGCCCTCCCAAGTTGTTTTTCTTTCACAGTGTAAGTTTATAGACACACATTTTGATAGTTTAGATAACTTGGTCAGATGATTACACCACGGAATCTGAGTGCTGAGTTTAGCTTTAGTTTTCCAGTTTCCTTCCTAGTGTGCTATTATTGTCATGCAGTGGTTTAAATATTTACTACAAATTAATTAGTGACTCTCTGACCTTCATGCGGTTAAAATAACATATTGCATGTTAACCAGATGTGGATTGAGGGACTGACTAGCATAGTGTATATATTGTGAGCCATATATCCACTTTGAATGTAGATTATCTATAAACTAAAAAAAGGGTTTGTTAAATTTTTATCTCAATAACATTTAGACACAAACCAAGTTTAATGGAAAGACTTTAAAAATGAGTGTGTACAGCTGTATGAATAAATATATCAGCTAATGTATTGCTGCAAGACTATAGGACTTAATACTTGTTTCAAGACATAATACTTGAGTTATCTCTTAATTTCTTCAGTAGAGACTAGATTTGGTCTGAGTTTATTCATTTCTTTAGAAATTATAAACATGAAATGTCTGAGAAACTTCAAATGTCAGACAATAACTTGAAACCAAAGCCATATTTTAGTCTGGCCAATTAAAGTGTAAAGAAGTTTTAAATGATAAATTTTCAAATTGTTTTTTCTGCTCTTAAGCTTTGAGAATACACTTCTGTTGCTGTAGTGTTGGTTTTAATCACAGGGGTTACATGGTAGCTAATATTTCTTCTGTGAATCATTCTCAGAATAAAATTATTCCATAAAATAGAAATACATTCCATTTGATTAAAAGACTTAATTTATTATCACTTACATAAAAACTAGGAGGTGGATGGAGTAAAATGCTGATGCAGATCTAATTTATGATATATTTATTTTTTCAACTCTTTTTGATGTTTTGATTGGAAAAAAAGTCTTGGCTGTTTTGCCTATGGAGAGCTGTAATCCATATAGTTCAGCTGTCTCTTCTTTTTTGCCATAGATTATTTATAAATTATATATTTTTAAAAATCAATACATACCACATTTATAGTTCTGTCAAACTCTCCAAAAGTAAAGGGTGGATTTTTTTAAAAAGTAAATTGGAGAATAACTTCTACAACACGGGTCGATTTTTGCACAGATACAGGTTCATTCTTGTCTTCAGGCATCTTATGAGTTGGAGAATGCCTGTTCTAGATCATCTGATTTTTATGATTTCAGATCTTTCTTAAGTGTCCTCAAGATTACCCTGAGTACTGTATGTAATCTTTGAGTCTCTCTTTGTGCCTGATGAGAGCTAAGGCCCCTTCTTTCCACTAAAAAGTTTTATAAACAATTTTTTAAGAACCCCAATCTCCAAATATGTTTGATTACACCTCTCTTCAATAAAATTATGTGAGAATACATGCCTATATGTTATGTTGATCATATATATACTTATGCATGCTCAAAAATATAGATTTATATTAAATAATGTATATATGCTACTTACTTGTATGTAGATTAAAGAACATTTATTGAGGAATTATAAAAGGGAAGGAAAAACTAAAATTAAGTATAAAGGAGCTCTAATATTTTCTCTTCACATCTTAGTGGATTGTGTGGTGTGCCATTTGGGACATATTATCCCTCTTAGAGACCTCTGGTCTGTTATGTATGACAACTTTTCTTCTTCTTTTTTTTTTTTTTTTTACAGTCAACAACTTTGGAATCTTGAATTTAATCACTAAACTAAAGTCTCATTTTATTTGACCATTTGTGGAAAATGGGAATTTTCTCAAGAGACTATGTCACACCTTTGGTCTGCAGATAATATTTAGGTTATTCACTGAATTCTTTGTATACTTCGCGATCCATTTTAAAGCCACCCAGTAGATTTAAAGCAAGAATTTCTCTGTCCACAAAGTAGTCTAAAATCGATGGTGAAATAAATGTGTCCCCATCCCCTACTCCCAAGTCCTTTTCAATTCTAATAACAGTCTCTGCACTGGGGGTTAATTCCAAAAGGAAGGATTACCATATTATAAACCTGTTTGATGTTGTAATTGAAAAGGTATTTTGGACTGTTTGCTTTAAAAATTTTTTTTTTCACATTAAAAAGGCTATAGCCATTCTAGTGTGTCTTGTTTTCATTTGCTTTTCTCCAAAGGATGCTGACCTGTTGGATGTTGAGAGCAAACACTTTGAGGACCTGGAATTCCAGCAGCTAGAGCATGAGAGCCGCCTGGATGAGGAAAAGGAGAACCTAACCCAACAGCTCTTGCGTGAGGTGGCTGAATACCAACGGAACATTGTTACTAGAAAGGTACTTTTGCCGGGTGTCATTCAAGACAAAAATCATAATATACCCCTCACTATGTAAAATCAACAAGGATCTACATAACTATCTAAGGAATTAAGGGAACTAAGGTGGGGATGCTTCAACTATTATTACCTAAATTAACTGAGTGGTTCCTAGATTAACTGGGTGGTGCACAGCCCTGACCTTTGCTAGGACTTTCAATGGCTACTAGCTTTTGGGGGGGGGGGTCTCTGTCTAAACTCAGCTAGTGAAGACAATGAATGGACTCCGGCAGTTTGCTTTAAAAATTTTTTTTTCACATTAAAAAGGCTATAGCCATTCTAGTGTGTCTTGTTTTCATTTGCTTTTCTCCAAAGGATGCTGACCTGTTGGATGTTGAGAGCAAACACTTTGAGGACCTGGAATTCCAGCAGCTAGAGCATGAGAGCCGCCTGGATGAGGAAAAGGAGAACCTAACCCAACAGCTCTTGCGTGAGGTGGCTGAATACCAACGGAACATTGTTACTAGAAAGGTACTTTTGCCGGGTGTCATTCAAGACAAAAATCATAATATACCCCTCACTATGTAACAATAATGATCAATAATATAGCTATAGCATGTGTCTGTCTGCCTATCTTTACATCTGAATGTCTTTGAGTGTTTAATCATATATCACATTTGGCAGATTATGGAGCCTGCCATCTATATGCCAAAAGGTGCTTTAAACTGGATAAACATTACATGTTACAGTCATTGTTACTTAATGCTGTGGATGCATTTATAAATAATATCTATTTTTTTTCTCTTATGTGAAAACTGAGTTAGAGAAAATCAGAAATTTTGATATTTGTTTTCAGTTACTTCCTTTTGCAGTCATAGTAACTAGATTCAGAATAATTGTATGAACAAAATCTATTTGGAAACTTTCTCTGTCCATTGCTCAATAGTTCGCAAAGCTGGCTGATAGCTTGTCACCATTAGAAATAGCCCCATGAATGCCATGCACATTACTGACTCCTCCCAACCCCTAGCACCCAGATGTCCAGCCCAGAAATCAGCTCTTGTTCCAGAATTTAGAATCACACCCAGCACTCTGGACTAAACCCAAAAAATTGAGCAAAGGGAAGATGGAGAAGGTGACATCTTATGCTCTCAGTTTAAATAAGAAATTCCATTGCTTTTCCCATAAGGCGTCTCCCAAGATGATGCCAAAAATTCATTTATAGTCTAAAACAAGATTTCCTGTTGACTTCTGGGTTCTTCAAATAGATTTCAAATCGCTCAAACTGTGTTGGCCTTTGGTCAGGAAAAGCCATGAGCTTGGCCGTCTAGGAAACTGCCTCTGGGTAGCAATCGGCCAACCGTCAATGAGAATGTTATTCCAGCTATAAACACCTTTTCTCTTGTTTCTAGGACAGACTGGCAAACCTTTGTGTGTCTAATTTGCATCTTTCTATGATCATCTTCTTTTCCGCCAGGAAAAAATTTCTGCATTGAAAAAGCAAGCCAACCACATTGTCCAGCAGGCTCAGAGAGAACAAGACCACTTTGTGAAAGAAAAGAATAATTTAATAATGATGCTGCAAAGAGTACGTATTTCCTTTTCAGCCCTGGACATTTGGGGAAAGTCATTTCCTTCAAAGCAAGTGCCTTTCAATAGTGAGCAGTGGATTGCAATTTAAGAATGACTTTCAAAGGGACCATGTCCACACCCCAGCCCCTAAAGTGGCTACATGGAAAGGGATTCCTCCACAACCAGATTTCCTGATAGGGCCATAGTCTAATTTCATGAATAAGGCACCAGAAATTTGAGTTGATGGGCCTAGTCTCCCAGCTGAGCCTTGCATGCAGGCCAGTACATAGGAAGGTGACTTTTGGGATCATATGAGATGGACCCAGAATGGTGTGCAGGAAAAAAACAAATCCCGGATAATACATTAAAATATGAGGCTGTACCATGACCCCACCTAGAAGAAATGTAGCTGTAGTGTTCCCTTTTTAGCTATTTTTAGTTTGAGAATAGAGAGGAAAATCAGTGTTTTTTATAGAATTATAAGTTCACTCAAACTGCCTCTGTAGCCCATACCAATCCCTGGCAGCGCCTCTCCTCTTGCTTCTTCAGCACCTACAGCCTCTGAATGGAGCTGTAGTTGCCATTCCTTTCTGCTGCTCTAGGGATGAACTCTGCTTCAGCACCATTAGCCTCCCCACCACCATTTTACCCTTTCACATAACAGTCAAGGGCACAGATTAAATTATATAGTGTAATATGTAAGCGGTTTCTGAAATTTTAGCTGAAAAAGAAAAAGTTTCTTAGAGATAAATTTTTATAAATGGATAAACACCCTCACAGAAATACTATTTCCTTATTAAAAATACATGAAACATAATTCTATTGTAAAAATTATGGTTCATAAGTATTAAAATTACTTTCCCAAATTGATCTATAGATGCAGCTCAATCCCAATAAAAATCCCAACAGACATTTTGTAGAGATTGGCAGGTTGATGCTAAATTTAGTTGATCATCATTTACAAAAACACACATAAAATAATGTGTGTTTGCTGATTGATCAATACAGAGGCTCACAGTAATCCAACCCTGTCATTCCTTTAGGGACACTGGTTCTGCATTCACTAATTCAGTGTTCATGGCAACATAATGGAACATTAACTCTGCAAAAATGAGAATTATCTGTATATGAAAATGTAAACAGTGTAGTATAGCCAAAACAGCTTTGAACAAGAGCACAGTTGGAGAACTTATACTATTTGACTTCAAGGCTGACTATAAAGCTGCAGGATTTAAGACTACTTGTGTGTGTGGTGCTGTCAGGCAAATAGATATATAGATCAGTGGAAACAAACAGAGTCCAGAAGTAGATCCACACATATGCTGTCAAATTCATTTTTTACAAAGGCTCCAAGAAATCTAGTAGAGAAAGGAAAGTATTTACAACAGGTAGTGCTGGATCAACTGGGTAAACAAGGAAGAAAAGGAACCTCAACACCATCCATTCTCACACCATACATATAAATTAATTTGAGGGTGATCATAGACCTAAACTTAAAACTTGAAGTGATGAAGTTTCCAGAAGAAATTATAGGCGTGCAAGTGCCCTGGGTAAGGAAAGAGATTTTTTAAAGAGGAAATGGCAAAGAACTTGTATCCAGAATATATTAAAAACTCCTATGACTCAATAATAATACTTAAACACCCAATAAATAATTTTTTAAAAGCAGGCAAAAGAGTTAAATATAAACACTTTACAAAAGATATATGAAGTCATCTGAAAAAATATTAAAGGGCATTAGTCATCAGGGAAATCAAGGTTGATTAAACTTAATAGATTTTGTGTTCTTTCAGGAAAAGGAAAATCTTTGTAATCTGGAAAAGAAATACTCCAGCCTCTCTGGGGGGAAAGGGTTTCCTGTCAACCCAAATACTCTAAAAGAGGTGAGCTGTGATTTTCATGTCCACTCATATCACCTTAGACATCAAGACATGCACCTCAGTCTTCTGCGATTAGCAGAACAGGAAAAAGATGAGATTAAATGATTTAGGAAAGCACTCCATGTGTTGATAGCCTTCCTGCCTTTCATTATTTATGCTTTGATAATTTAAGGGATTATTTTTGTGTCTTATGCAAATGCCCTGTGTGTATGTGTGTGTGGTGTGTGTGTTGTGTGTGTGTGTGTGTGTGTGTGCGTGCATACTTTGCTTGACAATGACATTGTGAGTTAACTCAGAGTTTCAAAAAATTTAGGTTCCAGAAGAAAACTAGTCTTAAATTCTCTTCTTTCCTTCCTGCAGTTTTCTTTCTCAGTTTTTCCTCTGTTTTATTTTACTTCTAAGTCTCCTAAAACATAAAAATTCCCCATTATGTTTGAGAAGATAATCTGATTTCTTTCTTTTCTCTCTCTTTTTTTTCTCCCAAAGTCATTTCTGCTACTTTCCATCTAAATTGAAAAATCCTATTTATATTAAACTATGTACACTCTTTATCCCAAACATCCATGTTCCCCCAGACCCTGACAATCTCCTTTCCTAAATATCTTTTTATAGAGCTACACTGCTACAACGGTGACTGTTTTAACTCTAATTTGGAAAAGTATAACCTTGACTAAGAAAGAAAACTTTTTATACTTATATTCTACAAAAAGCTAAAGAAAAAGCTTGCTTCTACCTAAAAATTTGCATAATAACAACCCCTTTATTTATAAATTGCTTTTAAAAAGACATCAGAGTTAAGAATTTCTGCATAGAAAGTATTTTTGGGGGGGGGGGGTATGTGAAGTAAATGTTCATCACATAACAGGTGTGCTTAATGTGTACCACAGACGCAATTTGTGAACTATTTCCACAAAAGCTTTATTAGATGATTCAGTTTCATAGTTTCTCTCCCATAATTCAGAACCCGGAACTGGCAGATTCAGTGGACAAAGGGTGGTTGTGAATGCAGTGTAGCCAAATATAGAATGTTAGCAAGGTGGGCAGGGGCTAGGTCTTGTGAGCCATGTTAAAGAAACATGGTTTATTTTCTATGGATGGGAAGCCCCTGAGTGGTTTTAAACTGGGAGGTGACATCACTTGATATCCATTTGTTAAACATCACTCTGGGCTGCTCTACTGGATTAGGAGGAGGAGCAGGAGATGCCAGGAAGCCAGAGTGGTGGTGATTGCAATAGTATAGGCTGGAGATGTGGGGGCTCAGATTCAAGCAATGGCACAGAAATGGAGAGAATTAGCTGGATGCAGATATAGTATCTTGGAACCAGAGGTGACAGTTCTTGTTGATAGACTGGATGTGGGGATGAAGTAAATTAAGGAAGGTGTCAGGAGTCATGCATTATTCCAGTTTGAATAATGAGATGGTTACTGAGTACATTTTCCTAAGATAAGGAGGACTCGGGTAAGAATAGGTTCAAGAGGGAAGATAAGCAGTTTGACTCTGGACACAGTGCGTCTGAAAGGCTTATAGCATCCAAGGAATTAAGTAGGCTCCAAGGTCTCTTTACCTCTTAGTAGAAGAATAAAATCTTTCCTTTTCTATTAATGAGTTGTTCTTTTTCTCTGCAGACTTCCTGGTTTCAAAAGGCTATTTGGATTTTTTATTATTTTTGTGTGTCTGCAACTCTTTTGAGTAGCAATGTGTTCTCTTTCATGGACCAAATCAACTTGACTCACAAGTTGTTTTGATTTTCTTTCTTTCTGACTTTACTCTCTCTTGCTCTTTCTCACTCTCTCTCTCTCTGTTTTTAAGGAGTGGTAAATTTATATCTAACTTTTAAACAAGTCCCACTTTTGACAAGCTTCATACATTTTTGAATAAATTAATTTGGTTTTGTGGTCTATGAAACATTCTACTATCAACTGAGAAAAAGAATAACTCAAAAGTTGTTACTCTTCATTTCTGATTCATTATCAAAGATAAAATGAAATTTGGACAACCCAGTTTTCTACTGCATTTTTCCCATTTAATCTTATAAAACTTTACATAGTATTCATTGCCTCTATCTGAAGTGTGAGACTAATTCAGCAGCATTTTGATACCTCCAATTTATAAACAGTCAATTCCCACTTTCTCTACTTTCTCATAATTATAATTCTCGGTAAAGGCTTGCTTTCTAACCTGGAATTTTTGCTTCATCAGCGTAATGTTATTTTGCCTTTCTTTGAGCCATTTTTTGAAAAGATTGATGGGCTAATAGAAGAACCTAAGTGTTAAATTTAACACTATTTTAACCTTTGAAAGAGATACTATTCTCTACTCTTTATTCTTTTTCCATACTGCTTTATTGGTGTGGTGAAAATCATGATTGGTCTGTACAATTACTTTCCATGAAAATTTGCAAGTGCCTTTTCCTCAAATATAAATTCAGGAGTTTGAAGATGATAGACTTTGACTTATGGGTATTTATGCTGAAGCCAAAATTGAATCATTGAATTTAAAGTAACTGGAAATTCTCTGTCTTAGGGGTAGAGTGGGAGTTCGGGGAGCTGCCTTGAATTGAAACATCCTCAAGTTGCAGCTCCACCTTAGGGTGTGTGTGTGTGTGTGTGTGTGTGTGTGTGTGTTCATGTGTCTTGCTAGGAGAAGCTCACTAGAGGGCAGTGTACTTCTTATTCTCATTTAATTGAGATGCCTAAAAGTTGGATTCCATTACAAAGAAATTATTGTTTTATAAATGACTTAGAGCAAAAACCAGTAGCCCTCAGCCCACATTCACTCACACTTTAATTTATTAGGAAACAGAAGAAGAGAGAAAAATCTAAAAATAATGTGGAAAAGGCTCTTGAAATAGAGAGTGAATGATTACATTGTCAATTTATATCTCTGATTTGTGTGTGATTATTTTAAATGTTGTGTAATGACAACCTCATTCAGTCAACAGAATGAAAGGTGATACCTCCGGGTATTTTAAAATCGATGATGTTGGGTTATTTATAATTTCAACGGGAAAATTGTTTTTAATGTTTGGAATATCATTTTTCATGATTAAGCACTGTAAATCCATTTTAATTGCTGATAACTCCCTGATGAACCATTTGATAATACCACAGATATCTGGCCGTGCCGCTCTAAGCTAACTCCATTTTATTAGAGCATTAATACTCTCGCATGCCTCAGCTTTTGCTTTCTTTGTGTTTAATTTCTAAATTCCTCCTTTTAGGGCTATATCAGTGTAAATGAAATTAATGAGCCATGTGGCAATTCCACGAATCTATCCCCTTCCACTCAGTTCCCTGCTGACGCTGATGCTGTTGCCACTGGGCCTACCACAGCTGTACTGGTGAGCCAGCCACAAAATAAAGAGGTGTGTTGGCATGACATTTCATTCATTCACTGCTTTCCTCATGTCAAAAATTAACCCTGGTTAACTGAAAATGAGGGCACTTGTGACAAATACACGTCTGGTTGACCAGAGGGTCAAAGTGATATTGAGTTTGAAAAACATACCAATTCGGGGGTACTGCTCTACCAATTGTAATACAAGAAACCATGAAATATATGGGACAGAGTGGACTACTAGAAGTAAGTTCAAAATCATAAACTCAATATCTGAGTACTCTAACCTGATCTAGCTTTCTTAAAAATCAAAAGTCTTTCTAAAATTGTTGGTTTGAATCACCTTTCCAGTTTGATTTTGTTTTCTTTTTTTTTTTTTTAATCCTCACCTGAGGATATTCTTTCATTGATTTTAGAGAGAGAGAAATATCGATGTGAGAGAAACACATTGATTGGTTGCCTCCTGCATGAGCCCTGACCAGGGCCCGGGCCAGGGAGGGGCCTGCAGCCAAGGTATGTGCCCTTGATCAGAATCAAACCAGGACCCTTTGGTCCACAGGCCGACGCTCTGTCCACTGAGCCAAACTGGCTAGGGCAATTTTGTTTTCTGTTACATTTTTCAGTATGGATTTTTTTTTAATGTTATGTCTTTTTAAAACATCTGGAAAGGGGCAAATAATAATAAGTGAAAATACCGTCTGTTGATCTAAGTTGCTTGCAGGTTGGGGTTTTCACTAGAGGCTAAATGGAAAGATACAGACTATCATTTGTGATTTCTTGATTAAAATATAAGAAAAAGAGAACAATGAGATTATTTATTTCATTTCTTTGTCATTATTCTTTCATTTTATATGGACACATGTATACTTTTTTTTTTTCTCCATAAAGCAAAGATCACCTGTCTGTCCTGGATTTATGTTTCCTTCTACCCTTTCTCCTCATCCTGTCACTCAACCTCCATCAGCCCCTTGGCCTGAAGTCATGGCTCCGTCTGTCAATCCCTTCCCTTTAAATGACACACCTCCTCCTCTGCCAGCTAAGAAACACAGAAGGCAGCAGCAGCAGGAGCAACAGGTAATTAGGAACTGGTGTTCAGAGCTTGGAAATCTTTCCTTCAACTTTTGCAAAGAAATTTCTTAAAAAGACAAGGTGCATACTCCTTTGCTGATTTTATTTTTAAAGGACATTTAGTGAGGTCTAAGGGTGTGGGGAGTGTTATAACTTTGGGACCTTGACTGTCCTCTCCTAAGTTTTGATATATTTGAGCTAATTTTATATCCTCATACATTAGTTTTCACTCAACCAAAATATTGCAACTTATCTTGGGTATTTTCAAAATAATAATTATTCCATAAAATTCATGGTATAAAAGTTGCTGTGTCAACACACATTTTTATACATTATTGAAACCATAATAGACGCCATTCCTTTACTCTGTGTCAAAATTTCCTAAACATTTTACAAATAAACTTCTCATTTCTCCCTTCAAATATCCCATGAAATGAATTAACTGCATATTGACATTTAGGGAACTGAGGCTCAGTATAGTAAATAGCTTGTCCAGTGTCACCCAAGTAGTGTTTTGGGGCCATAGAACAACAGTTTATATTGACCAGATTAAAATATGTATTTTTGTAATTCTTAATGTTGCCCTCCTTTTACTACATTCAGTGCATATGTATGCTTGTGTTTAAAAAATCTGTTATGAGCCTCCTTTAAATTATAATCAAATTCCTATGTGAATTGGCCCCCAGAAGATCATAAGGAAGCATAGACACTAGATTCCCCAAAATAGGCAAGCCCTGCTGTGCCGTGCCAGCCCTGACATTTCTTGAAGGTATCTTTACTCTCTGTTAAAGAACTATATCTCCCCAGTACTTTTAGGTTAGTAAGTATTAGCTACTATTAGTAGATAATGTTAAAGTAAACATGCAGATATGTTTCATAATTGGCACGTGTAAAGAAGAAGAAGGAATTTGGTAACTCAAATTTGCATTAATTTTTACATATTTCAAAAGCCCAAGCTGAGGATAACAATGATCAAACCTGAAGAAGCTTTAACTAGGAAATAACTTCACTATTGAAGACTTTTTTTTTTTTGAGAGGCCAAGAAAATTTTGGATAAATGTCAAGTTGGCAAATTTTTGCCTTAGGAATCTGAAAGGGAAAAGAAAGAAATAGTCAACAGGAGGGTTTTGTTTTTTTATGTGAGGGATTATTCTAGGGGCTTCTTGGCCAAGATCTTTTGTAAATAAAAGAGTAACCTAGAAGGATGCCTTTTATGGAAACGTTATGCCGATTTGGAGTGTGTTTGTGTGATTGAAATATTATTCCAACTTTAAAACAACTCCCCTGTTTACTTGCTCTTTCTCTCCGTCTTCTTCCTTCTCCCTTTTCTTGTTCTCCTCACACTGGGATCTGTGCCACCACACAGAACTGTCCAGACAGACAAGGGGAGAAACTGCTTACTTGCTTTGTCCACTGGCTGTTCCGCCATCCACATGGCGACCATCATAATCATTTGTAAGTTGTCCTGAGGCCCCAAGGCAGCAGGCACTAACTATGAGACTGAAAGGTGGATTTTTTTTTCCTTTTGTTTCTAGGTTCAGTAAAAAATTCTTCTACTGCCTGTGCATCTTACCGAATGCTAGCTAGCCCAAGTCTGTTAGTGAACACAAGTATGAGTTGGATTTTTTAAAATTTTGTTAAAATTCCCAAACTTCTTGGTAAATGCATACTTCTTAATTTCTTCAGTGACCTGTTGCAATTAGTCAAGTTTTGCTATTCTGCTTTACATTTGCATTTAAAGCACTTTAGAAGTCTGGAAGAAAGGAAAAAACAGCATAAAGAAGGCCTCTATCTGAGTGACACTTTGCCTCGAAAGAAAAGCACTCCTTCCATATCCCCACACTTCAGCAGTGCTACTATGGGGAGAAGCACCGCCCCGAAGGTAGGACATGGGGAGAACTGTGGGCTTCACATTCAGGGAGTCTTCTGGTCCTTATGTTGACAGATGCTCAAAGGTCCTTGAAGAAAATGCTAAATAAGAAATCATTAAGTTTGCTTGTTGGGCAGACATTATGACTAAATTGCATTTTCTGTCTTATTCAGAGGACATTTGGAATTGTATGCTCTGGGACCAAAGAACCTGGTCCAAGGTATTTTCTGCCACCACCACATAAGTGGTAGGTAGCATTCATGTGGCAGACTCCTGTGGCTGCTTCCCACAGCTGGAAATTGGAAGATACAAGCTCTGGATTATAGGAATAATAGGACCAGATTTTTATTGAGTCATTTCTGAACCTGACACTGGGCTAAGTGCTTTATGTGGATTGTCTTATTTGAAAATCCAGCAAGACTATTCAGTAGAGATACTAATTGCTATCCTCATTGTACACATGGATAAACTGAGGTACAAAGAAGCTAAGTGACTAGCCCAAGTGCCCTCAGTTGGTTAGTCATGAAGCTGGAATATGAACCATGTGGTCTGATGCCTAAACCCTCATTTATGTTCTGCTGATATGCCTGAGGGGTCATTGCAGGAAGAGGAGGAAAGGGAGGTGACAAGGAGGCTCTGAGGGGACAGGCTTTGGGGCTCTTCCTTTGACCTTAGTCAGAATAACGTTGTTTTAAACTGGTGTTCTGTTTTATAAACTGGTGTTCCAAGAATATTTTACGTAAAGGATTTTGCTATTAAAGAGAGTTCTAGAACCACTGGAGGAGTTTATAGATTTCTCCAGGTTTCAGCCCATTAGATAACTGGGGGAGGTAGAAATTGGCGCCCGTGTCACAGGGTAGGTCTGCTCTGTCCTGGTGCATGCCCTGCATGTCCCTGCCCCTGCCTCTGCCCTCTGCTCCTTATGCATGCAGAACTTTGAGTTGCTCTCAATGGTGGTTTTGGAGAACAAGTGTTTTCCCTGTCTTTTGGAATTGCTGCCACTGGAGGAACTGCTGTGATGTGGAGACTTCCATGGAGCTCCTTGGGAGGGACAGCGACTGGTCTTTATCATTGAGCATCCACAAACGGGTTGGAAGACCTTCCTGTCCTGCCCTCTGTGCTTAGACAGGCACCGTGGAAACAGGGATGTGGCCATGTCCTGAAGGACCACTGGGCTGCAGTTTGCCTGAAGTGTTTCCTCCCGGTTCTCGCAGGCTCACTTGCCCCTAGGACAGAGCAACAGCTGTGGCAGCGTGCTCCCTCACTCGCTGGCAACCATGACCAAAGACTCAGAATCTCGGAGGATGCTCAGAGGTATGTCACTTTAAAAATCAAATGGGATGCCTTTTGTTAAGCATAAGAATTCTTCAGAGAGAGGGAGGGAGAGCAAGGTTGAGGATCATTAAAAGGGCAGCAAGCAAAGTCCTTGATTTCATTCTTAATGTGTCCCCTTTGGGGAAAGAATGGATAGATAGATAGATAGATAGATAGATAGATAGATAGATAGATAGATAGATAGATAGATAGATGATAGCTAGATATGTTATTATTGTACTAAGGTAACTTTTCCTATACACACATATGACTGGTATGTTTCAAATTTTGCACTTCATAAATTTATTAGTAATAGTATTCTCAAACCAGAAATGCCCCTAGAGAATTGCTAACCTTTGCATTTTATAGGTAGAAAGAAAAGAGAGATCCTAAGTCACTCACCTGGTTTGTGGCTGAGCCACTGTGTTGAAACGTGTGTTAAAGATTCATTGAACTGACACAGTAAATGGAGCACCAGTGGCCCAGGACAGAACTCCCCTAGGCCTTTTAATGTGGTTTGAGCCTTTCTTCTAATGTGGTTGTTAGATTTCAGGTAGACTTTGATTCTCAGGGTATTTTATTTCTTTGTAAAAATGCATTGCATTTACAACGGGGTTCTCAAATACTCTTTCTGGGCTAGAAGAAATAACTGCAATACAGTTCCAACTGTGAGAGTCTTGTTGAGATTAGATTTATTGTGTTAACACAGTTGCTTAGGTCAACAACTTATATTGGCCCTCACTTTTTTTTTACTGTTTTTATTGATTTCAGAGAGAGGAAGAAAGAGGGAGAGAGGGATAGAAACATCAATGATGAGAGAGAATCATTGGCTGTCTCCTGTACACACCCTATTGGGGATTGAGCCAGGGCATGCATGTGCCCTGACCCAGAATTGAACCGTGATCTCCTGGTTCATGGGTCAATGCTCAACCACTGAGCCACACCGACCTGGCTAGCTCTCATTTTTGAATAGGCAGGGTGCTAGAGACCAAGAATGCAAATGAATGACATGATTCTTGCCCTTGAAATGCTTATAGTCTAGTGAGAGAAAAAGACACATAACACGTAATTTCAGTAAAATGTGGTAAATGTGATGGAGGTGTGAAAGGATGTAAATGCGGAGGCTGATAGAGTGGTGAACATGTGGCCCCTAAATGTATTCATGTTCCAGTGGGATTGAATCTCTTCCCTCCAAGCAGGCTGGGATTCCATCCTGACTGCTCAGCCTCTCTGCCAATGGTATCAGGGGATAATCACCGGTTTTCTATCAGACAAAAAAAAAGGAAAAAAATATATACATTTTGGTATGTATATATATGTATGTGTGTGTGATGTGTATATGTATGTGTATAACTTTTGTATATATACATATATATCACTTGAATGAGGTTTGTTTGTTTTTTCTTTTCTTTTCTTTTTTTTAATACATTTTATTGATTTTAGAGAGGAAGGAAGGGAGAGGATAGAGAGTTAGAAACATTGATGAGAGAGAAGCATTGATCAGCTGCCTTCTACACATCCCCTACTGGGGATGTGCCTGCAACCAAGGTACATGCCCTTGACCGGAATCGAACCTGGGACTCTTCATTCCCCAGGCCGACGCTCTAACCAGTGAGCCAAACCGGCTAGGGCTTTCCTTTTTTGTTGTTGTTGTTGTCAATCCTCATCAGAGAATATTTTTTCCATTGATTTTTAGAGAGAGCGGAGGGGAGGGGAAGAGACAGTGAGAGAGAGAAACAGCGAAGTGAGAAAGACACATCGATTGGTTGCCTCCTGCACTCGTCCTGACCCAGAGTAGGGGATCAAGCCTGCAACCGAGGCCCATGCCCTTGACCGGAATCGAACCTGTAACCCTTCAGTCTAAGGGCCGGTGCTCTAACCATTGAGCAAACGAGCTAAGGCTTGAGTGAGGTTTTTGAATCATTATTAGAAATTAATTAATAGTTAGTAGAGTCTGTAGTAGTCAGAAGAGAGGTTTATAATGTATGATAGGTTTATGTTACATTTAAATAAAGTACATTTGATTGAACTTCTATATTTTCTTTTTTAAGTTTTATTTATTGATTTTTAGAAAGAGAGGTCAATTTATTGTTCCACTTATTTATCTTATGTATGTATTCATTGGTTGATTCTTGTATGTGCCCTAACCAGGGGTCAAACCTGCCACCTTGGCATATTGGGATGATGCTCTAACCAACTGAGCTGCCCAGCCAGGGCCTTTTTTTTTTTTACAATAATTTCTGAAGCTAAAAATAGCTCTTATGATTTATAAATAATAAACATAAAAGTACCTTTTAGCTCTCATTTATTACTGTTCATTTGAGTCAAGACTGTGTTTTATTGAAGCATTTTTCTGCAATATTTATAGACTTCTTTTTAAATGTATTTTTTCTCAGTGGCTGAAGACATCAAAGCTTGGATTGGCCCTAATACCATACTTTATTTTAAAAACATTTTCTTAAAATAGAGAGTAAGGAAAACGAGACCTTTATACTACATGGATTTGTAAAAATAAGAGCTATTAACATTATCATGTAAGATGACCCTCGTGAGAATATGGTGAAACGAAGGGATGTTTCATCTCTAATATTCTAGTCTCTGTTTTGTCTTCAAATAATGGGAATCCCTAAGCTACATTCATACAGGAAAATTGATCTGATTCTCTTAGGTCACCTTAGGGAAGTGCCCTCTGTAAAATATACTGTCTTTGATCTTTTTGCTCTGGTTCTTCGCTGGTAGGTCTTTGGTACACCCGAGAAGACTGCCGCTTCAGTCTTCCTACTGCAGCTAAAGTGGTGTTCCTTAAAGCGTTTCTGTGGTGCTGATGAGACGGCTTCTGAGGAAATGGAGAAGCATCGTGTGTGTTGATCCAATTGCATGAGATGTGTCTTGTGAGGCCAGCCTGTCCCCCGTGGCTCCCCCACGTGGAGGACGAGGGGTTGGGGGCCTCAGTTCTTAGAGCCACAGCAGACCTTAAATTTGGCAGGATTTTCTGTTGAGCCCATACTGGTGGCCCAGTGACCTGGAGGGTTGAGTCATCATTTCATTTAGAATTGTTTCACGAGCACTAAAATACAAGTAAAATTTCATGGTTTTGAAAAAGTTTGGATCTAACACATTTTCAGCAACTCAAATGTAATAGATCTTACCATTTTTGTTGACTTACACAGTTAACTTAAGTGAACTATTTTTTTGCTGTTTGTGCATCACGGATACATCAAGGACCATGGTGTAAGTATAAGCCATCCCGCAATCAACATTGTTTTAATGGAACCAACAATGTGAATCATGCAGACAAAGGTTCCTGAGGGCAGAGTTGAAAGCAGACAGCCCAGGAACTCCGCTCTTAAAGTTGTAATGGTTATTGGCTTTTGTACAACTTGTGAACTATTGCTTTGTGAGCTTTAGAATGAATGAAATCTTTGTCCTTTTGTCTTTTGTTTAATGCAGGAAAGTCCAAGAAAGGTATGACAACCTCCTTGTGTGGTGTTTTTGTTTCCAGCTACTAGTGAAAGGTCAATGTGAAGTCATCTTTAAGAAATGATCAGAATTGAAACTGTAAAAGGCAGATTTTTAGTCTGATGATTATTCCTCTTACACAATGGAGAAAAATTGTCGCACCCTTGCAGGGTGCAGCTGCCATTCATTCACAGGCAGCTGCATGACCTTCTTTGTTTTGCTTTTTTTATGACAAGGACAGACCATGCAGGAAGCATGAGTGCTTTGGAAGCATTGTTGTAAGACTCAGGATCTAGATAAAGGAAAGAGTGGGTCTTGTGGTGTATATAGGCTAAATGTAAAACATGAGGTTACTCCTTTATAAAGACCGGGTATAAATAAAGCAGGCTGCGTGGGAAGATGGAAAGATTTAAAGGGCTCCTACTTAATCATTCCATGTAAGACTATTTCATGTGAAAGACTTAGTGGAGAGTGAAGAACAGTTTAACCAGCTGGCCTGAATCAATAAGATGTAATTACTGTGGCTAACTGATAGAGATGAAGGATATTAGAGAACTGAGTTATACAATTTGATGGACACTGCTTCAAATAATTGAATGACATTTTACAAACCTTCGCTCTTAAAAACAATTTGTTACTGTCTGCATGGGAAAAAATGAACTGTTTTATAGCTATAATCATGTTTTTATTCTCCCTATTTTCTGGTTGACTGATGTGTGTGAAAGATTTTTTTTTTCCTTAAGAAATCTTTTTTTACTGTGTGCATGTATTATAAGCTTATTGTTTGTGTTTTTTTAGCTTCTTGAGTTCTTCTCTATAAACTCAGATTTAATCTAAAGATGTGAACATCTTGCCTTGTCAATCTGCTGTCGTCACTAACACCGACAATGCCTGCATGTTGAAGTGTTGTATATTTTTCCTGTCCTCTGGTCATCCTTTTTGATCTTGTATCTTTTTCCCTTTCTCTGTCATTCTCTTCATTCCTGACTTGTCCTGTGCCTTCATCTTCCGGCTGTGGAATATGGTTAGGAAGAATGAATTTCTCAGCAGGTGAGCTATGAAAGGCTGAATTGCCAGAAGTATGGATTGATTTTGTCCTCTTAAACTCAGGTTATAATTTTAAGTCATTTCTATATTAAGGCCTAGATAGGCGCTTAAAGTATATACCACATATTTGGAAGATATGAGCAAGACTGTGTATCTCCTAGTGGTCAGCTCACACAGGACTTCTCAGGTCCAATTACCCAGAATTCACAGAGGCTGGCACTAAAACTAATAATAAGTGGACCTTGCATGTGCAGAATATTGGCTCTTCTTGGGCAGTGAAGAGAGTTGAGTTGTTTGGGGTCCTTGTATGTGCCATGCTTAGCGACTGGTCTCAGATGTTAGGTCTCACTTTATAAACCCTATAAAATGCCCTGTCCAATAGCTTTTTCTGTCCAGACAGGAAGGATTTGAAGCATCTACAAGGCCCTTTTTACTTTTTAGATGCTGTCCACTGCTGCATGTTATTCTTGCTGCATAACTTAAAACAAGCAGTCTCAGGGGTTGGAAAAGCCTCGTTTTTCCCAATCCACTTACTTAATTTGGAAAGTAAACGCATTCCACTTCTTTACTTAGCCACTAATTTGGTTGCCATTTATAGATGAGAACATGAATTCATTGAGTGATTCTTTATTTCATGACATCCATCTGCTAAATAAATGGGGAATCTGTGATGAACAGGACATAGGTATGTCCTCTGTGCTACCTCACTGCACCAGCACCACTCAGGCCTCCTACCAGGGTGCCCTCCCCCTCCTCTAATGAAAGTACCTACACCTTTGGATGGCCAAGCCTGAGCCTGAATCCCAAAACCAGCTCTTTGGAATCACCCTGGCACGATTCCAGAGCCACAGAGGAGAGCTCCATGGCCTTATTTGTAATAGCAAGGGCAACTTGGTGTGGGGTTTTTTTAATTGTTCAGGAGGGAGGAGGCTAAGCCAGGTGACAGTTGAGTTCATCGTGGTCAATAAAACGTTGCCTGCTGGGAGAAATGAGAAGCTTCGTAAGGTAGAACATTTCCATTCACATTGGGTCCGCAGGAAACGAAGTCCTGCATTGTGAAAGACATGCTCTTTGGCAGCTGGCTTTTTCATTTAAGTTGCCATGAAAATGTAAGGCTTATTTTACCACCTGAATGGTGGCAGGTTCTCTAAGACATAGAGCCAAACCTCAGCAAATAACGGGTGATCTGGGAAATTTACGTGCGCAATCCTTAGCACAGTACACCTTCTCACATAGCTTTTCCTCATGCTTGCATCTGAAAATTTTGCATGATTTTAGCCTCACCTGAAGATACTAAGTTCATTTGCTTATTCTGTGATACTTTTGGTGGGGGGTTGGGGGTGGGGACAGGACTCCTGGAAGATCTGAGGAGCAGAGCATGTATTGTTTTAAGAAGAAATATACTCACCTTCCATTCTGCTCTTCTAAGGAAGTGTTATTGCATCATAGGGATTGACTTTTCCTCATTATGAAAAAATGGAGGCAAAGGGGAAGTTGAGGCATGGCACATGTCATTGCCAAGCAGATAATTCTTGAATGTTTTCAATTACATGGTTGTCTTTTAGGGATTTGTTTTTCATACTAAAACAAGGAAATGTCATCCATGTAGTTGGTGTCACTGTGGAACTTTTCTTTGACAACAAACCTTTTGAAAGCATAGGCAAGATACATGTATGACCTTTTTAAATAATTTCTAGTGAGTTTTTTGTCCTCCTCCTTTTCCTAATGAATAATTTAAAAATTTTTTAAAGGAGCAATTAGTAATTCTAAAAGTTCAAATATCAAAGGTAAATATTTCAGTAATGAATTGTTTGCCTTATTTTTTTTTAAAGGCACATGCTCCTCTCTCATGACTATACTTGCTTCATTTAATGCTTTATGCATTAATCACTACAAGTAATGGCAATCTGCCTAAAATCTCATGGTGTGCATTTATATTTTTCATATTGCCTTACTGATATTTAGCTTTTACATGTTTGTGTGTGTGTGTGCGCGCGTGCGTGTTGGTATTCATAATTTACTAGAGGCCTGATGCACTTCATGCAAGAGTAGGCCTTCCTTCCCCTGGCTGCCGGCACCAGCTTCCCTCTGGCACCCGAGACCCAGGCTTCCCTTACAGCCCCAGCTTTATCAGGAAGGTCGTCTGGAAGGACATCCTGGAGGACGTCCAGTCTAATTACCATATTACGCTTTTATTATATAGGACTAGAGGCCTGGTGCATGAAAATTTGTGCCCTCTCTCAGTCCAGGACCCCTCGGGGGATGTCCACCTGCCAGCTTAGGCCTGCTTCCCAGGGGATTGGGCCTAAGCTGGCAGTTAGACATCCCTCTGGCAGCCCAGGAGCCCTTGGGGGATGTCCAACTGCAGCTTAGGCCCGCTCCCTGCCTAAACTGCAGTCGGACATTCGTAGCATTGCCATGGAGGCTCCCGCCACCGCCACTGCACTGGCAGCTGTCAGCCTGACTTGTGGCTGAGCGAAGCTCCCCCTGTGGGAGCACACTGACCTGCATTGAGCATCTGCCCCCTGGTGGTCATTGCGCGTCATAGTGACCAGTCGTTCCTGGTCATTCCACTGTTAGGGTCAATTTGCATAGTACCCTTTTATTATTATGCTTTTATTATATAGGATAATTATAATTTATATTACAAAAACTTTTTTTCCAGAAAAGGCCTTATCTTCACTTAGATACCTAAAACTGTTCCAAATTTTAATGCGTGAAAACTCATAGAACTGAAATCACTCTATAGTAGCCTTTGGTGTGTGATGCTTTGCATCATGCATGTAGCTCTGGTTTTAAATTGAAACATTTAATCAACAGTGGAGGAAACTGTTTGAAATCACTTGCCTTCTCTCACTCTCTTGCCTGCTTTTGGACATTTCATTGCCAATTCAAAGCCTCAGTGAAAGATAAGCAGAGCACAAGGAAAGAGGCAAAAATCAAATGGGCCAATTGTAAGCTCTTGATAGGTCTGATAGTCAGTTTACTCAGAGAGAAAGAGATTGCAAACTACAGTACTGGCTAAAGCAATGAATGAATAGAAGAAATTGTTTATCAGTATGACCCCTGCTTCCTGAGTGTATGGTACATAGAGAATTGAAAGGAAAGAAAAACTCGATTTATGATGCCCCAAATCAGCTACTACAGAACAAGCTGTAGCAATAATGCAAAGCAAAGCCAATGACCCCATGCACAGCTGACCAGGCACCAGGGTAAGGAGAACACCTCTTAGTAATGGTACCTTTGCTGCTATTGATGTAGCTCCTACATTGTCATGTGGTCAATATCACCAACTGACAGAGGGCTGGCGGTTCATATGGAAAAAGAAGACAGCTATATCTACAAGTCCTCAAATAATGATGTTTTGTTATAGCATTGATGAGATGCCATAGAAACTTAACTCTTGCTTATATCAAGTAGCCTGTGAGAAAACTGGTTTTCATATGATCGTTTCACCACAGTTTCAAGAATCTATCGATGATGTTAGGACTTACTGTATGTACAGTAATTAGGCGGAGTACAACCATTGGAAGGATTGCTGACTCTAAATATTTTAAATAAGTAATGGCAAATAAGGAAATTTAAAAAAAAGAATGAGAAAAATGTACAGTTTGTCTCTTAGCCAGATTGAAAGTGTTAGTGACGATAAGTGTCTCAAATCCTACACCTCAATGATTCACCTGCTCTTTTATGACCAGATCGAGTATCCCTTAAATATGAATATCATTGAAAAGGTGACTGCCCTAAGACCCTACTGTTGCCTATCACTAGGAGTCATTTTGCCCTGACGTGAACCCAGCTATTTTGAAAGGATTCAGGGCCTTTCACTGTGTTTCTGTTTTGGTTTTCTTGTGTTTCTGTGTGTGCTGATAATATTAGTCTCACTTGTACAGAGATGTGGGAATGGCATAGGAAAGTGTCAAGTGATCCACTGACAAAAAAAAAGATCACTCACAAGACCACTTCTTTGAATTTGGTGCTTGCACTGAGCGTGATGCTATTTCTTTGATCTTCTTGGCTTCAAAACAAAGTAGACCAAGGGCCAAGTTTCATAGGCAGATGTTTTGGGGTTGCTAGTTTGAGTCTTATAAGATCTAAGACTGAAAAATGAGGCACAGTAACATATTTATGGCTCTTTCCTCAGGGTATAATCACCAACAGATGAGTGAAGGACAAAGGCAGAAATCTTCAGAGTTTTACAACCGCACAGCATCTGAATCAAATGTCTACTTGAACAGTTTCCACTACCCAGATCATGGCTACAAGGACCAGGCCTTTGATACTTTGAGCCTAGACAGCTCTGATAGCATGGAGACCAGCATCTCTGCTTGCTCACCTGACAATATTTCTAGGTAAGATTTCTTTGTAGGTAAGGTGTCTGGTTGGGAGAAGGACCTACTGGTTTCAAAAAGTAAAGACATCAATTTGGGGCAATGTATGTATATGTACAAACCCAAATTTCTGAGACATCGAGTCTGTAATGCAGAAAGAGTTTGGGTGTCATGGTGGCCTTTAAAGTAATTTCTTTGTATCCTGTGTGACTCAGCCAGTCAGACATCATATAGTTCATCTTTCTTCATTATTTACATTTGAGTTCACATGTATACTGTGCTTCAAAATCATTTTGCTTCTGTTGGTTGACTCTAAGCTTCATTAGGACTGCTTTTGATTAAATAAAGAAATAATTTCCAACAATGGAGTAAGAACTTTGAAGGATTTCTTACCCTTGTGTTTCATTAAAAGGGAGGCTTTAGCTCTTCTGCATATTGAAATTTTTGTAAGGATTTAACCATTCACATTTGTGTTTATACTTTGAGGCAAACAACGTTGTTTTCATGGAATTATGGCTAAAGGCACATCTAAGACATAGACGTAGTCATGGTACCCTTTCTCTTCAAAAGCTTTGATGATGCCCTGCTACCTTTTGAATAAAGTCAGACCCCAGAACATGGCATTCTATATTCAGCCCAACTCCCCATTCATTCTCTTCTCCTGATGCACCTCACAGAGCTTGGTATTAATTGACATGGTGATGAATTTTCAGATCTCTGTGCCTTTAACCATCTTGGTCCTTGCCCTGGAATTGTGTAGTTTGTTCATTCATTCATTTATAGGCTCCTTCATTCCACAAACACATATGGATTGCTGTACAGTCAGCAGTGGGCTAGAGTCGGTTCATACTGGCTGGCAAGTGCCAAATGTGCACATCTCCTCCTAACTCTGCAATCAGTGATGTCATGTTGGGAGTTTGAGATTGGCCATGGTGGGAATATACATTCCACATAAGTCAACAATTGCTACACATCAGGGTTTTTGTTTTCCTCCAGAGAGCTGGAACACCAGCACACCACTGCCTGTAGTCAGCTCATGCTTTCATTTGTTTTATTCACTCAACCTGTACCTACTGAGCACGGATCTTGTCTGGCCTTACAAAATATCTATTCCATCATCATTGCCCCACTCCCATCTGACCAGGAGAAATTCTCCTCATCCTTCAAGTTCAAACTTAAGTTGGAAACTCATGAAAAATTTTCCTTCAGAGCTTTTTCTTCTGTATTTTCATTGCACTAGCTATTTTTCTTCTACTATATCACTGATCCCATTGCAGTATAAATTTTTTCTTCAATAATTAATGGGTGAAATCCTCAATGTCAAGGAAGATGTCTAATCATCTTTCAATTTCCACACCTGGTAGAGATATTGCTGTATAGTAGGTATTCTATAAGTGTTAGCTAAATAAGTACCTCAGGATGTAATAAAATGGACATATTTTCGATGTTGACATTTTTTCTGTGTTTGATCTAGTTAATTGGCTGAGAAGCATTATGATTTAAACCAAAAGAAATCCCATATTCAATAAACAGTAATTGAGCATTTTTGTGTCTCAAAAGAAAATATCTAGTTGGATAGCTGCCAACAAACGAGTTTTCCTATATTGGAATGAAGCCTCAGGCTGGGAACAGGAGTACTTGTGCCACTTAAAGGAGACCTCAGACTTCTCTCAGCCCTGATTTGCTAGTCTGTGAAATGGAGGGATTGTTTCTTGAATACAAGGAGAGGACGGCTTTTTAAATATTTTGATGGAAAATTTCCATCATTGGAATATAATTTCATTCTTTACAAAGGTTTCAATAATTTACTCTCCCCCCCCCCAAAAAAATAACATAAAAATAAAAAAGAGTGACAAAGGCAGAAGGAAAGACTATTAGCAAGTTATACTTAGTTGTTTGGGTTAGTTAGTGTTTCATAAATGAAAATAATGTGAGAGACCCAAATGTAACCAGACATTGTAGCTGGGAAATTTGGGGGGATAGTGGAAAGAAGGGAAGGACATACTATAGTCTTAATAAATAGAGTATAGTGTCTTTTAATCCTGGCATTAATGGGAAAAATATTAATATTATTGGATATATCCTATCAGAAAAAAAGGCATTCCTGGGAAAAACATAAAAGCAACCATAATTGTATTACTGCTTATCACATGGAAATGACCCAAATTTAAGGAGGGAATTATGTAATAATAATAATAATGAATAAAGATGTTATTTTTGCTGCCATTATTATTTAATGTTAGAAGGTTTAATATTTCACTTTATTCAATACTAGAGGCCCAGTGCACGGATTCATGCATCGGTGGGGTTCCTCAGCCTGGTCTGTGGGGATTGGGCCAAAACCTGCTCTCTGACATCCCCCGAGGATGGGAGAGGGAACAGGCCAGCCCGAGGGACCCCACCAGTGCATGAATCTGTGCTCCAGGCCTCTAGTATGCATATAAGATCTTTGGTTAATCTCTTCTCATCCTCCCCCTACCCCCTTCCTCCCTTCCCTCTGAGATTCATCAGTCTGTCCCATGTTTCCATGCTTGTGGTTTCCACTCCTGCATTGAGTGTCTGCCATCTGGTGGTCAGTGTGTGCCATAGCTACCAGTTGGCCGGTCAGCCAGTCGGCCGGTTGCTTAGGCTTTTATATATAGACTAGTGGTCGGGTGCACGAAATTCATGCACGGGGGCGGGGGGGGTGTCCTTCAGCCTGGCCTGCACCCTCTCCAATCTGGGACACCTCGGGGGATGTCCGACTGCCAGTGTAGGCCTGATTGGGCCAAAGCCGGCAGTCAGACATCCCTCTTGCAATCCGGGACCACTGGCTCCTAACCGCTCACCTGCCTGTCTGCCTGATTGCCCCTAATCGCCTCTGCCTCGGCCCCGCCACCATGGCTTTGTCTGGAAGGATGTCCAGAAGGTCTCCCGATGTAATTAGCATATTACCCTTTTATTAGTATAGATTAGGAGATGCAGTATTTCCCTTAAAAACATATATAACATGACTATTTTGAGGAAGACACGTGAGTGTGTGGAACGTTGGGCATCAAACCATCTCTCACCTGAAGGTGCTTGGTAGTCCCTGTGGTCCTGGTGAGGGTGTTAGAGCCATGTTAGCGGGAGCTAACATTCTCAGGACAGAAATCCTAGAGCTTTGAGTAGTTATTCATAAATGACTGTTGTCCAATGTAAACTGACCAATTCGATGTGGTATTTTTGAATAACAGGGCCCAAACAAAAGTCAGTAACTCAGCAACTATTATATAATGATGATAGGGAAATAAAAGTTGGACGTTAAAACAGAGAATACAAAATGCAGCACTTCAGTTTCCCAATGTAGTAATCATCGAGGGACTGCCCACGTTTCTTTGGCATGTTGTACTTAGTTGTTATTTTGAAAACATCAGACTACTCTCCCCTCTTCCCTAATAATTGTGAACATGTTATAACAATATTCCTATGATGAATTCTTGAAAGCTTGACCTTTTCTTTCTTTTTGAGCCATCTTTTTTTTTAAAAAATATATATTTTTATTGATTTCAGAGAGGAAGGGAGAGGGAGAGAGAGATAGAAACATCAATGATGAGAATCATTGATCGGCTGCCTCCTGCATGCCCCCTACTGGGGATCGAGCCCACAACCCAGGCATGTGCCCTTGACCTTAATCGAACCCAGGACCCTTCAGTCTGCAGGCCAACGCTCTAGCCACTGGGCAAAACAAGCTAGGGCTGAGCCATCTTTAATAAATAAATACACTCTAAGGGTTTTCCTATCTTGATGTTTTATTCTTCTTCTGTTTTCTACTCCCCCTCTTCTTTCCCTTCAAAATTAGAAGCAAATATGCATCCTTCCAGATCATCACTCCCCACCCCATCTCCCATATTTAACGGAGGTCAACAACTGTGGCGCAGCAGTGAGTACAGGAAATGACCTAAAAAGGGACCACTTCAGTTACATTTACCAAGCATTACAAGTTCAGATCTGAACACTTAAGTACGGTGACCAGCAAAACCTTAATTTATTTTTATTTGCTCATTTGGTTGCTTTTTCTGAGAATGGTTTCCTAGGGTTGAAAACAAGAATGTTCCCACTGAACATGCCACATTAAGAAAATAGCATCATTGCAGAGTGACCATTCCTGGCAGGTAGTTACCTGTGGCCACCGTCATTTTCCATAGTTCCTGCACACAGAGCTGACCTGGTAGTGCTAGCAGTTGTGGGTAACCAGACACTACAGTCAGTAATTACTACCAGCGTTTATTTAATTTTTCTGTCAGATCCTCTGAAGGTCAAAAAATTGAAGCCAAAGTAGAAAATGCCTATAAAAGGTCTAGCGGACAAGGGAGAGAAAAACAAGCAGGTCTCTTCTGCACCACCATCTACCTTTAAAAAAATCCATGCTACCCTAGGATAAGCTCACACCCTTTGTTATGGTGGAAAATAAAGGATAAACATTAGGAAAATGGTAATAGGAACTAATGTTTGGAATGTGTGTTTCAACAGGACTTCCTTAATGGGAACTCTGTGAAGATAGGTAGAAAGAAGAATAAAGGACTAAAATTTTTCTTTTTATTAAATTTTTTAAAAATTATGTATTAAAATATCCTGAAATATGCATATTTTTAAAAGGTAATTGCATGCTGAAATTCTAGTGACATAAACTTAGTCTTGTGGTTTATTATGTCACAAAAAGCCATTTGTAGAATTACAGAATTCCTCAGACTTGTGGGTACATTTGCCCTTCAGTTTTTGTTGAGACATCATTTTTGCATCTACCAGAAAGTTACTTGAGTCAGACAATGTTTTTGCTTTTTCAGCATTCTTACTACACTGTAAACAAACATGGAGCTAAGAAAGCAAGTCTTGGTCTTAGAAAACAGTAACTGAGAATTGATTCTGCATAAAATCTCTATTCTGCTAGAATTACTGATTGTCTTATAGAACGTAGTGTTCTAAATACCACCTATAGTAATACATTATTATTACTATTGCCATTGTTAACTTTCTAAGTTCTGACCCTGTGCTCATATTTTTTAGAAAATGTTGAGGAAGCTGATTGCTCGTGATAGCTTAAATACCAGCACTGTTATGTGAGAGAAAGAAAGAAGATTGGGAACCGGATTGAGAGCAATCCATGGCTGAACTTGGTTTTAAAAGATGCTTTAACCAGAATTTGAGGTGCTTCTAATCTCTTCATTTTAGGCTAAGGGTTATAGTCTGCTTTCTATCTTGGATAGTGTTAACCAAAGAAGAGGTTCAGGCTCCATAAAGAACAAAAAGTATTTATTTGATCAAAAAGGTTTGCAACCTAGGAGGCCCAGATGCAGGCAGCAACCTCAATTGTGCTCAGAAGAGAAAAGAGAAAGGCAGGGTTTTATAGGGGTGAAACTTACAAGTTGGTTCCCATTCTGGTCCTCCATGAAAATGAAGGAATCTGGCTAACTTAACAGGGATTGGGCAGTTCCAATATGCAAATGAGGGAGTCAGGAATTAGGAGGAGGAAGTAACGTCCATACATGTGCGTACAGCAGTTGTCCCAGGATGTTTAAGGCTCAGCTTTGAGCTGAGTGTAGCAACCTCATAGCAGCTCTGAGAACTGAGGCAGGAGATGTGCACGGACCTCACTTTTTCAGTGGCCTCCTGACTCTTTCTTTAAAGTGAATCTCATCAAAGGGTGGCAACATGATATCATAAAGCAGCAAAAGTTTTGCTGAATAAAAGTGGCTTAATGTCAAGGAAATATTTAAGTGAACAGTAACAAAAATGTGGCTGTGGAGAACAATTAAGTGTCTATGGATAAAAATTAATTTATATTTTTAATAAAATAACTAAGTATCTTTTAAAAGTGTATCCAGCATAGTTAAAAAAAAAAAAGTTGACTTTAGGTGCCTAAAATAATGAAGACATGGTCAGTGTTAACATGTACTTTCTTCTATCAAGTGTTTTCATAAAATTCAGCTCATTTGGCGCAAAAATTAAGACATTTATGAGAACATTGCCAAATAAATAGATTGGATAGAATTGGCATAAAATTAATTAGAACTATTATCAAATAAATAGAAAACACTCCGAAAATTCCTTTTTAAAAAATGAACAGAAATATTGAAAGTTGGATAAATGTTTGAAAACTTATCCCCAAGATAAACCCAAATTGCAAATATATGAAAAACCATGAACTGAAAATATTTGTGTCTGACCAAGTTACTTGCAACCAATTCATCTGGGTAGGTTTCAAGTGGCTTCAGGGTCCTGCTTAGGTCAGTGAATGGAAGCTGTAGGAATATTCAACATGAGAATCATCGTTCTAACAATGCTGTCCAAACAAAGAAGGAGTGGATACAGTGACTTTTCTGTAACAATGTTCAGGGCACAAGCTAGATGATAAGTAGGAATGTTGGATGAACCACGGTTTATTTATTCTTTACCTACTGAAGGACGTCTTGGTTGCTTCCAAATTTTGGCAAATATGAATAAAACTGCTAAAAACATCTGTGTTCACAGTACTGTTTTTAAGATAAACCACATGTCCTGTGTTACTGCGGTCATTTATATCTTCAGAACAACCTACGTTTGAGATGATCCAAAACCTGATTTTGGAAGACTTCAGTAATAATTATCTTATATATCTTATATGAATTCACTTTTATATGAATGTCTTACAAACACAAATTCCTACTGTGTGCCGGGTGCTATGCTATGGGGGATAGAGGCACAAAAGCCTCTCTGTCCCCAAGAGAGTCTGGAAAAGAAGACAGATAAGTAAGTGATTATACATGCGTACATGCATAAGAAACAACTTCGGTTCTCCGCAGCTGTAACATCCAAGTAAATACATTTTGACCTCAGCTACGATTTCTCTTTTCCAAACTAGTGAAATAAAATGTAAGCAAGTGAAAAATAGAAATTTTTGTTTAGTGTTAAACATTTCCAAGTTCTTCTCTTTCTCATTTAGTTACCCTTAACTTTTCTTGTCCTCTGTTGTTTTTTTCCTTTACTTGTTTGTGTGATGTCTTTCCCAGGTTGCATTTCTTTTGAAGCTCTTGGATCCCTTTATGCAGTTTGTTCACTTCCAAGTTCTTCTCTTTTTCATTTGATTACCCCTAACTCTTCTGCAGTGTTCATTTCCTCTGTTTTTTTGGTTTTTTCCTTTACTTGTTTGTGTGATGTCTTTTCCAAGATGCATTTCTTTCAAAACTCTTGGATCTCTTTATGCAGTTTGTTCATTGGTATGGTGGGTGGGTATTGTTGACAAAACTGGCCACCACCCTCCCATTGTACCTATAAGAAGTCATTTTTTAATTGGCATTATCATGTAAGAAATAAAATGCCCACAGATGTGAAGGCACAACAAAAAAAGCAGCTAATGACACATATTCCGAAACCAAATAAAGGTGCTTCAAACCATAGGTGTCATTTACCTAGAACTTTAGTGTTAGTCCTGTTAGTCTGTCGACTCTGAATAATTCAGCTAATGGGAAGGCCTCCCACAGGCCAACATTTTTAGACTTTGCAAGAAGCATTTTGAAAACATTCTTTGTAAAATTTGTTTTTGGTTTGTTTATGAGTAAAGCACGTTGGCGTTATTTTGCTTGCCCGTATTTTGTCTCCTACACTGAGGTAAGTCAGTATCACCTACAATTTTCAGAGTTAAATTGACTTGCCCCTTCAGACCTTTAAATTTCATTGGATTTTGCCCTACACCTTTGTGAACCCGTGTGTGTGTGTGTGAGTGTGTGTGTGTGTGTGTGTGTGTGTGTGTGTGTGTGTGAAGAGATCTCATTCCAAAACAATATTCTTGAAAGGCTTTTGTGTTTTATTTAGCGCCAGCACTTCAAATATTGCCAGAATAGAAGAGATGGAGAGACTTCTGAAGCAGGCTCATGCAGAGAAGACACGGCTGCTAGAATCCAGGGTAGGTCTCAGATCATGATGCTGGAGGGCAGAGATGAGGGGGTTCAAGGTGCTCTGCACTTGACACCAGGACGCTGTCCTAGGGCCTCACTCAGTGGTGTGGTCATGGAGTAGTCACTCAACCTTTCTCAGCTTCATCTTCTTATCTGAAAACTAAGGGTGTTAGATGATTTCGAAGGCTCTTTACTGCACTACAATCTTTCATAATTGAAAATAGACATAGTGTTGACGTAGACTGAAATGAATGCTTTGTATTATGTTTTCCTTTCGATGGGCACTTTGTTTGCCTGCCAAAGAATGAGGAGGGATGTCATGTCTTTATGTAGTCTCCATTCCTTGTCAGCTTGCATCAACTACTCTATTGTAACATTAAAAATCCCTCGTTATTGTGACTGTATTTCAAGCAGAATCTGAACTTCCTTAGGAATCCCCCAGAATGCCTTCGCATCCTGCCCAGGGGCACCTCCTTTCCTCTTCTAACTGCCCCACGTGCTTCCTCTGCGACCTTTGGCCAGGAAGCTGCAGAGCAACAACAGGAATTGGAAGGACCCATGCATGACCTTCAGTTAGAAGAGGGCAACTGAAAGAAAGGCTAAATCTCATGACCAGCATTGGCTGACAGTTTGAGAGGCTTTTTATTAGCAATGGGAGAGTCGTGGTCATCAATATGAAATGACTAAATGTACTGATCACCGGCTGGATTTTCACTTAAATTCAGTTGTTAGTTCAAGTTACTGGTTGCCTTTTTGCATAGGATGATTTTGTAAGCCATGTGAGAGGTGATAACGAGTGTTTTAGTTGAGGTTACGTATTATAAGGGACTAGGTTATAAACCAGAATTTCTAGTGAGAATTTTCTTTTTGATATTAATTGGACTCATTCAAATATAACCAGTATGTCTTAAAATGTGTTCTGCCTAATGCTATTTAGGAACGGGAAATGGAAGCCAAAAAACGAGCTCTGGAAGAAGAGAAACGACGCCGAGAACTCCTGGAAAAACGATTGCAGGAAGAAACTAGCCAGAGGCAGAAGTTGATTGAAAAGGAAGTGAAAATAAGGGAGAAACAGAGGGCACAGGTTGGTGTATCAATGTGGATACATAAGAGTATGTTGCCCCCTAGTGGCTGTTCTGTAGAGGAAGGTAATGCTGTGTCAGGATGCCTTCCAGGAATTAGCTCTTGACGTATAATGGCTAAGGGGAAAACGTGCGTTAGTGGGCAAAAAATACCAAACGTGTTGATTTTGAAACTTATCAGGGCCTACCAATCAAATGACACTTTTCCCTGCTCGTGCATGGGACATCTGATGGGAAAGACACTTTGTCTTCTACCCATTTTGGGGGCTATATTTAAAAGGAGAATTTTTTTGAGGAGCTTTGAAAAATGCAGCTGGATTTACTACTGAAAGCAAATACAACACTCACACTAAAACCTTTGGCTGGGGAAGAGAAAAGAGCCTATTAAGGCATCTTTTGGAAGCAAATACTCCAGAAGAGGGTAATCTTACCAGACCTGTTTCTTGGTGGTAGTGTTAGTGTTCTGGTTTGTTGTTGTTGTTTCCTAACCACTGAATTGTCACACATGTCCCCATTACTACACCAGTCCACATGAAATTACTGAACTCGAGCAAAACTTGGAGAAACCACCCATTCTGTTTAACTTCCTATCTTGGTCATCTTAGAGTTTGAGTTTCTGGTATTGTCACTAGAGCTGCTTACATAATGTATGTTTTCTGAGAAACTCAAATAAAATTTTGTTAAGTCCATGTAATTTGAAGTTCAAATCAGTTTTACCAAAGTTTACTAGACTTAAAGGTAAAAGGTCCCATTTCCCTGGTTCTTTGTAGTTGCTGGCAGTTGATAGTACAGCAGTGAGACACTTTCTGTAAGGCTGTGATGCACCGTAAGTCTGTAACATCTGTTTACGAAGTACCACAGACTCAAAGGCAAAGTATCGAAGGAGAACTACAAAGTGAAACATGTTCATTTTATTTTATTAAGCCAAACCTCTGCCAAATTTTGATTCACCGTTAAGGTATCTGAAAGCCAAACTAAAAAGCACAATTCTATTTTAATCCTAATTATAAGGTTTAACCAAGTATATGATGAGGTCATTTTCCCCAGGGTGTAAAGGAGTGGGTTAATTTAACAGAATAAAATAAAGCATTGTTTTAGAAGCATTGCCCATGGTGATCTGTGCTTCCTAGGTTAGACGAACCTCTACTCCAGCCACAGTAAAATAAAGGACATCTACGATTATCTCTTCGGTGTCTGGTCCTGAACAGCATTTTGACTCCACTTCTTACCTTAATTTAGGTTCACTTTGCAAAACATACATCTCTGCCTTAGATTTCTATGGAAGCCGATGTGTATAGATGAGGGGGATCTTGTGGGGTTTGTACTTACTAAAGAATGTTCCATCAGTCATGTCTGAAATTATTTAAGAGCTACTGTGAGGTGGTGGTGGGGAGAACTGGAAACTTTACAGTGGAGGAGTCCTCATCTGTAGGAAGCTGCCCAGGTAACTTCATGCTTCATTTCCCTGTGTTTTTAAGTGCTAAGTACCTTTTTTGAATGCTAAGATAAATGACATTTTTCCATTTTCTCATCTGTCCATTTCTCTAGACGTAGGATCTATTGGCCTGGATTTACCCCCCTAGTTCCCACCCCACCCCCCACAATATTGTAGCATCCTTCTTAAAATACTACCCACTTTTTAGACCCCATGTGATGAATTTTAAGTGCTGCCCTAACCGATTTGGCTTAGTGGATAGAGCGTCGGCCTGTGGACTGAAGGGTCCCAGGTTCGATTCCGGTCAAGGGCATGTACCTTGGTTGCGGGCACATCCCCAGTAGGAGGTGTGCAGGAGGCAGCTGATTGATGTTTCTCTCTCATCGATGTTTCTAAGTCTCTGTCCCTCTCCCTTCCTCTCTGTAAAAAATCAATAAAATATATTTTTTTAGAAAGAATTTTAAGTGCTCATAATCACATGGGCATTTTAATGCTTAGGCTTTTCAGTTGTTTTCTGCTTCTACCCCTCTGGTCTAAATGAAGCAAATAACTAGTTTCAGATGCAATGGGTTTGCCCTTTTCCAGGCTCGACCTTTGACACGCTATCTGCCTGTCCGGAAGGAAGACTTTGATTTGCGGAGCCATGTGGAGACTGCTGGCCACAATATCGACACCTGTTATCATGTATCCATCACAGAGAAGACCTGCCGAGGATTCCTCATCAAAATGGGTGGAAAAATTAAAACTTGGAAAAAACGTTGGTTTGTTTTTGATCGGAACAAGCGCACGTTCTCTTATTATGCAGGTGGGTGACGGAAAAACTCTAAACAATGTATTCAAATTAGGAACCCTCTGTTAAAGAGTAGAAACAATAAAATTCAGTATAAATAGTGAATTGGTAAATAATAGAAATAATGACAATATTAACTTTGTAAATGTATAATTATTTTATGTTCAGATTATATGGTCCACGTGATATGAATTTCCTCTTAGAAATAATAAAAATCATGTTTTCTGAAAGTGTGAAATAATCTATTCTAGTTCTTAAATAAACTCAAGTCCAAATACATATTAAATGGAATATATTTTCGAGACCAAATTTTCTCTTTTTAAACCATGAAGCCAGAAAAAAAAAAAAGGTTTTTATTTATTTATTTATTTATTTATTTATCTATCTATCTATCTATTTATTGTCATATGCCCTATTTAAGTCATACACAATTAGGCAACCGTAGCTGACATTCAACTGGAATGGTCTTTTTATCTCAGAGAGTAAAGCTTATCAGTGAACTAGTGAATAAGTATTTATTAAGTGACTGAAATCTTTTGGATGTTCTAAATGATGGATTATGAGAAACACACCCTACGTCATCTTCCATAAATACAGGAATATTGGTGTGACTGCATACTTATCAACACGCCTCTTATTTACTCTTGATCCATATGAAACATGTCCATTTCCACCACAGTAAACTCTGGCCTCCTTTCAGCTCTGAAGAAGCGGGGAGCATCCCAGAGGTTATGAAAAGACTCTTTTTGTGACGACTGTATCAGCATTTATTAGCCTTGTCAGGAATTGTTTTAAAAAAGTATGTATGTGATAAGTAAAAAATAACAGTTCAGCCATTTAATCTTTAGTGTGAGGTCAGGATATGTTTATGAAGAGAGGTATCAAAACCAAGAAGCATGTGAAAGAAATGAAATACTGGCTGTGGAGCCCCAGAATTGGGGTGAGGAGAGGGTGGGGGTACGTGCCTTTCACAGGAGCTCTTTGAGTCGGGTTCCAGTTACTACAGTGGCTAGTGGCCTGACCCGAATGGCCTAACCTTACAGGCCGGCTGCTTTGCCTCTCTAGGGCTTTATGACCTTGAAATTTATAGGAATCCAGAGACATTCTCTCCAGTTAGTATGATAGAAAAGATGCCTACTTAATAAGAAATGCTAATTTAGTGTCTGCAAAATGCATTTTTTTTAAAAAAAGCAAACTTTGCTGTGATGCTAATCTCCACAAGCGACCTCACCCAGAATTTTTCAAAAGTAAAATTTCGAAATAATTTCAGACAAACAGTTTCATTCTTCTTTTCTCTGGGATCCTTACTTCATTTTATCTGTCAGGTGGGTGGTTCAGTGGCCCTTCCTTCTGACCCATGGAAGTGAGTTTTTCCAAATTTAAACTTCTTAGTGACTGGTTTTCAATTTTTTACAAACCTCTTTGGTATATGGAAAATTACTCAGAATCCTAGTGCATAAAACAGACGACATCATATTTAATTCAGCTTTTAAATATTTATATACTCTATAACTGACCGGTGGGACCTAGTTTGGCGAACGCTGCCCAGTTGGCTCTGTTTGCAGCCATCATCAGCTTTGACTGCTCCTGCCACCTCCACCCACACTCGTTCCCAAACAGCACCAAGTTCAGGAACAGATCAGTCCACAGGAAGTCAAACAGATTGCAGTTCAGGCTGCACTTGATCCCAAGTTAGCCATGCCCTGTTAGCTTATCAGTGAGGTCGAAGACCATGGTATGCATGAAGGAGCTGTAAAGGTGAGTGCTGAAAGCTAGAGTCTTTGATCTCTCTTGTTGGCCTTGAACCCGGGCTCTGTCCTTGGCCTCCACATGTTAACTGGGTAACTTTGGAAGAATCTCTAGAAAACTGAGGCACAGAAAAAAATGTCTGTAAGTTGATAGAATAATGCTACTGAAACAAAATGAGTAGCATTACCTCATCAGCTTACCCAAAGCATTGTTGATTCTCTTAGTTCATAGTGTCCTTGTGAGGCCTATGTTTTTTCAGAGTTCTGTCTCATATATGAAGTGCCTAACAGAAGTTTCATTCCACAGTTTTCTGTCTGCTTGAAACACTAACAAGATTTACTTTTATCTTCAGATTTTATTTTGCATCTGTTTTCAGAGAACAAAGTATTATTGTATTCCCATGAATATTGCAGACTCTTTCCAGCAAACGTTTGAGAGATACACTGGGTTAAATACAATTAAACAGCTTTATTTTCTACTGAACTTCCTAGGGGATATTGTTTTTCATACTAGGATTTTATTGTTGTTGTTGGGGGAAGAAAGGGATATTCATTAGTAAAACAATAAAAATAAAATTCAACAAAAATGTCTATAAAGAAATTGCCTCTTTCCCATCACAAAGTCCTAACCTTTTCCCACTATTTCATCTGAAATATCCTTTTAGATTTTCTCTATTCATTTATATCTCAATTTCAGTATGTTACATGTGTTCTTTCTTCTTTAATACAGTTGGGACCAAATTACACTCTGTTCATCACTTTTTCACATAACAGTATTTCAAGATTTTTCACTACTGGGCACATACAAGTCTACCTCCATCGTTTCAGTGGTTGTTAGATTCCATTTTATGGCTGGTCTGTTATTGAATCAGTTCCCTGCTAAAGCTCAAGCAGACTTTGGCAGCCTTCTGCTATAACAAACACAAATCTGTGTGCATGGGCATCAGGAGCTTTTATACAAAAAGTTTTAGAATAGAATTGCTAAGAGGATGGTTTTGCATTTTTAATTGTGTTTATTTTACAAATTGCCTTCCAAAAAAGGCTTTTTTTTATTTGCACTTCCACCAACAAAGTATGATAGAGTCTCTTTCTCTGCATCTTCATCATGCTGTAAAAACTTTTAATATGCTCATGTGTTATGATTCTTGATGAATTTAAGTTATATTTCAGGAACTTATTAGATTACAGAGTGATGTTGTTTATTTGGTTGGTGGTTTGGGTGTTTGTTTTTTAAATGTTTTGTTTGCTTTTTATGGAAAATCTGATGAAATCTTAGAAACAGTTTGGAAAATGCTGCATTGAAGGGACATTAAATTATTGATGTTAAGCTCTATTGGGAACAGGCAAATAAATCAAGCATGCTGGACAAGAAATTGATAGAAAAGATATATAAGTAGCATATTATTTTAAAATAAAAGTCAAAAAACACAATTGTTATAAATTTCATTACAACAACTCTGCATATTCATAGTTCCAGTCTAATGTCTTAGAGAATGTGGAGAAATAATTTATATCCATGTCAATTGTGTTTATTCTTTGTGTGTTAATCTGACAGAAGTTCTGGGTTATCTTTTGACTGCTAGTTTGCTGGAAAACCTTGGGCAGTCACTTAGTCCTTTCAGTTTGGGCTGATAATTTCATCTTTTTTTCAATATAGAACCAGGCTAATGCACTAACCTGAAATACCTGAAACTTAGATAATTTTAATATTAGATAAATATTTTAATGATGACTATAATGAATTATAATTTTTCCTGTCCATTGGTGGTGATAACGTATTTAACACTCATCTATTGTTGCAGACAAGCATGAAACGAAATTAAAAGGAGTAATATACTTTCAAGCCATTGAAGAAGTGTACTATGATCACCTCAAGAATGCTAATAAGGTACACATTGATTTTCAGGTTCCTACCATTTTAATGCATACCTAAATTGGCAAAATATGTGTGTGTTTTTTATTTGAAGCAATTTAGACTTATTGTTCTGACATAGCAGATAGATATGATCAGAATGGGGTAGAAAAATAACCATAGAAGTAATTAATATAGCTGATCTTTTTGTGGGGGGAAAAAACATCATGGCACAATGAGGAAATGTTCTGGACATATCGGTTTGGAGAGACCCTGCCAAGTGACTCTTTGCTAGGGTTCTAAGAACATACTACCTGCTTATGAAGAAGGATCTGAGTAGGGCTGAGACTAACAGCCATTACTTGTTGAGCACCCACCATCAGCTAGGTACACTCCTAGAGCTTTACAGAAGGAACTGCTAAGAGGGTTCTCTGTGAAAACTCTTGTGCAGAAAGGCCAGAAAGATAGTCAGTCTTGAGAAAGGTGTTGGGACTGGGGTATAGGTTATACTAGAGCAAAAGTAATGCCTGTGTAGATTTGCATAAATTGGAACTTTTAAAGAGGAAGAAGCCCTGGTGTTGTTTCATGTTAGCATTTCAAAATACATGTGTTACATTTTTGTTTCCTTTTGATTTTTAGAGTCCTAACCCATTACTCACCTTTAGCGTCAAGACACATGACAGAATCTACTACATGGTGGCCCCCTCACCGGAAGCCATGCGGATCTGGATGGATGTCATAGTTACTGGGGCAGAAGGCTACACTCACTTCATGTTGTAGTGAACTGGAGCGACAGTCCACTTCAGGGCAGACGGCAATAATCTCTTACAAGAATGAAGCCATATTGTATCCCAGATGGAAAGACCCTACAGACCCATCCCTTTAACTGTGCATACTCATAACTCTTTTCATATTAAGAGGAAGCCATTTGTAAATGAGAAGGGATTTTAATTCAAAGCTTGATCATAAATAGCAAAAAAATCAAGCACCTGTGAGAAAGAAAATACTATTTTGGTAAATAGCATCACTTAGAGAAGCATTTCTAATAAACTATTTTTTATCAATTGTTGATCTTGGTGAACTCAACAGTTTACAAAATGTACATACTTGGAAATATGTAATTACTCTAGCACCCAAATCATTGGTATTGACATTATTGGTATTACCTGGCTTTTTGAAAACAGGAGCATTTTGCTGAAGCTTATTATAAATATGAGCACACAGGGCCTTGGGGAAGAATATATTACAGGAAGAACTTTTGCCCTAATTTTTAAGTATTGCACCAAACCAAAGACTTGACATGACCTCTGTTTAATGGTAGTAGTTTCAAGTGATGAACTGCATTTCGTGTTATTCTACACTTTAAAATGATGCTTTGATGCCATCAAGTGCCCAGGCAGATGACTTTGAAGAGTTGCCACCAGCATAAGCTACTGTATATGTATAGCAAACCATTTTTTGTAAAAGAAGAAAGAACAGAAAGCTGTGTATTTTAGAAAAAAACAGTCTTGGACAGATATTTTGTCACATTGGGAAATTAAAATAAAGAGACTATTTAATATTAGGAGCTTGTTTTCCTGAAGATTTCTCCATTCCTAGCACTGAAAATACAGGTAACAGTAGCCAATTCCTTAGATTGTTGGCTTTTCCTTTGTTACGGAGCACACCTGTTAATTGCAGCCTCACATGACATAACTATGAAATCAGAGTTATGGTTTTTTTTTAACCAAAGAACAGACCAATTAAAATACTTATTTACAGAATGCTGTAGTTTTATAAAATATCAAATGAAGTTCAATCATGTTCTCTGAAATGTACTATTTTATTATGTATCTCTTTACAATAAGTCTTTGTTTCTTAGAGTTAAATTAATTTTTGGTTGAATTAAATGACTTCAGGCAAGTCTCTTTCATAACAGTTTTTTAATGCCATTTATCATGGTTTGTTATGTTGTGTGTTTGTAAGTATGAATGTACTTTCCTAAAACGTGGCAAATGAATAGAAGTAGAAAATAATGACATTACTTACTAGTGAAGGTGAAATGATTAGAAGTGTCTATGAAATGTTTGTCAGGCCTGACTGGGTACAATTTTTTACATTTGCAGTGTGCTTTGTGTATATGTATACATACTGCCAATAATAAGATTTTGCAACTGGATGACACATGATTTTACTTGAACAAAAGAGGACAAAATCACGATTGCAGGAGACATTTTTATTATCTGGGTTTGTTTTTTCAGAAATCACCCTTAAATCTTCTAATGATCTAAAAAAGTGAATATAATCGCTTAAATTTTCTTGGTTTAATGTAAAGATACAACTTTTTTTGTACTGCACTCTCTGCATCGGATTGTAAAGATATTCTAATCAACTTTATATCTTGCATGATGTAGTAAACCTTTTAAAAATGTGTGTTAAAATGTGTTGAGTTTGGATTAAAATGTTGACCAGATTTCAGTCTGAAGATAAACTCATCTCTCATTAGGAAGTTGCCTATTGGTAACATGACAAGTGTGGCTGGGTGGATTAATCAGCCAAAGTCCATTGTAGACTCTACATAAAGGATGTTGTGTGCTAACAATATGATTTGTGGTTTAAAAACAAGTAATTTTTTAAAAATTACCAGAAGTATCTCTGGTCACATTCCTGTTGTTAACAAAATGAAGTACCCCTGAAAACCCTGACATCTTTTTTCACAGATGCATTTAGTACTGGGGATTACAAGGACTGTGTTTACTTATACTTCTATATGACAAGGAATCAATCACACAGGTGTGAAGTAAAGCTCTAGGGCTCTATTCCATGGGGACCTCATCTGTCCCCCTGAACAAAGGCAGCAGGTTTCAGAGAGAGAAACTGCCCTCACCAATACGCCCTTTCATCCCGGTTAATGAAGGCAACATTTACTGTAGGTCAACGGAAACAAATTTGCCTACTTCAAACACATCACTGTCAGTAAAAGTACCTTTACTGGACAGTAGCCCCAATTTTTTTTCTGATTTGTTAGACCGATAAGGGTGTACAGAGGAAATGATCAATGGATTGTGTGCAGTGTTTTTTCCCACTATACGGACAAATCAGGTTTTTTTTGTTTGTTTTTTCCATTTTGCTGCACATCAAATGCAAGACCTGCAAAAATACAGGAAGAGAATAGGGACAGGAATGATTGAGAATCTGTGCAATTATCCGAAAACTTTGAGGATAAGTATGTATTGTTAGGATATGAGGGATGGTGAAATGGCATGCATTGGGCATCGCCATATTAACTTAGTCCCTCTGTAGTCTACAACAGGCCTAATGGAGAACTAGCAAAATAACTTAGCAACTTTCAAAGTTTGTCCTGAAGTCAAGAGGCTGTCCTTGCTCTCTGTTTCTGGCCTTACATTTCTCAAGAAAGATATCTGTTCAGTTTCTATTTAGCTAACTTTTCCAGCTAAGTTTTCTTTGGTTCTCAAGACTCCAAAGATAGGCTGATTCACTTTTTCTAACCTTTGCCTTTAATTCTAACTCCGAATCATTGCTCCAATATTTATGACCAAGACATTAAAGTAGCTTTACTCAAAGTATATCAACCACAGTGACTTTTTAAGTAGTGGAAAACAAGATAAGGCCTTACTTGCTGATGCATGAGACCCTCCAGAATACATTAGAGTGTCAGAGCTGGAATCCAGAAATCCTTGTACCACAATTTATTTAACCACTAGAGGCCTGGTGCATGAAATCTGTGCACTTGGGTGGGGGGAGGGTCCCTCAGCCTGGCCTGCGCCCTCTCGCAGTCCAGGAACCCTCAGGGGATGTCCAACTGATGGCTTAGGTACGGCAGTCGGACATCCTTTGCGCAATTGGGGCTGGAGAGGGACACAGGAGGTTGGCCAGCCAGGGAGGGATCGTGGGAGGGGTCCAGGGCATGTCTGGCCCATCTCGCTCAGTCCCAATCGATGAGACCCCAGCAGCAAGCTAACCTACCAGTCGGAGCGTCTGCCCCCTGGTGTTCAGTGCACATCATAGCGAGCAGTTGAGTGGCCTTAGCATATCATTAGCATATTATGCTTTGATTGGTTGAACGGGTGACTGAACAACTGGACACTTAGCATATTAGGCTTTTATTATATAGGATTTTTCTATTATTGGCCATTTCATTTTTTTCTTCTGTTTGCTTCTAAAACTGATGCTGTAATTGCCCTAGCCAGTTTGGCTCAGTGGATAGAATGTCAGCCTGCAGACTGAAGGGTCCCGGGTTTGATTCTGGTCAAGGGCACGTATCTCAGTTGCAGGCTCTTCCCCGGCCAGGCCCTGGTCAGTGCTCCTGCAGGAGGCAACTAATCAATGTTTCTCTCACATCAATATTTCTCTCTGTTTTTCCCTCTCTCTTCTACTCTCTCTAAAAAAATCAATGGAAAAATATCCTTGGGTGAGGATTAAAAAAAAAAACAAAAAAAACTAGTGCTGTAGTAATAATATGAATCCTTATGTGTTAATATTGTTTTCTATAGGATAGTCACAAAATTGGACCACTGGATCAGGGGTGTTGAAAATGATACGTATTTTAAATTATAAATATGTGATCATATTGGTTGACAAGAGTTTAGTAATTCACATTCCCACCAGCCATATATTTGTACCAGTTCCCCAGGATTATTGACAATAATTGCTGTTTTTAATTTTTGCCAATCTGATGGGTGGGGAAAGATGGCATGTTATTTTTTTTAATTCACATTTTCCAATAGTGAGGTTGGACATCATGTTTAAACATATGAACTGCCTATTCATAGCCACTGACCAATTTTATTGGAATTACATTTTTTATCATTTCTAGAAGCAGATTAAATAGAAGTATTAACGTTCTCTTGTGCTGTAAAATAAATTTTTCCAGACTCTCCTTTGACTAGAGGCACCTTTTACCATTCAAAATGTTTAGGCCTGGCTGACATGGCTCAATGGTTGAGCCTCGACCTATGAACCAGGAGGTCCTGGATTCGATTCTGGTCAAGGGCACATGCCCGGGGTTGTGGGTTCCATCCCCAGTGGTGGGGGGAGGGGGGCAGGAGGCAGCTGATCAATGATTCTCTCTCATCATTGATATTTCAATGACTTTCTCCTCCTTCCCTCTCTGAAATCAATAAAAATACATTAAAAATGTTTAAATCTGTATATAGTCAAACGTTTTTATTCTTTATGATTTGGGAATTTCAAGTTTTAAGATTAAGCTCTTTCTACCCTAACCGGTTTGGCTCATTGGATAGAGCGTCAGCCTGCGGCCTGAAAGGTCCCAGTTCGATTCCGGCCAAGGGCATGTACCTTGGTTGTGGGCACATCCCCAGTAGGAGATGTGCAGGAGGCAGCTGATCGATGTTTCTCTCATTGATGCTTCTCTCTCACCGATGTTTCTGGCTCTCTATCCCTCTCCCTTCCTTTCTGTGAAAAATCAATTAAAAATATATTTTAAAAATATTCTCCTAAATGTACTTTTTTCTTCTGTTGAGATTTTTAAAAATCCTCACCTAAAAATATGTTTTTATTGATTTTAGAGAGGAAGACGAGAGAGAGAGAGAGAGAGAGAGAGAGAGAGAGAGAGAGTTTGTGTGTGTTTTTTAATATACTGGGACTTATTTTTGCATATAACGTGAGGCAAGGGTCAGACTGACTCAGTAGTCAGGCAGAGGAAGAGCAAGAGCAAGAACAAAACCAAATTTAGAAAGGGGAGGAGGATGAATGTTCTGTTCCACTCTTTAAACAAGTATGTTTAAGGTCAGATTGTGGAAGCCTCTCCAGTACAGGTTAGAACTGTCAGGGGGTTGGAGGTGGAGGAGATATAGGGAGGATAAATGGTGATGGAGAAAAAAAAATCAAGTTTAAAAATAAAAATGCAAAAAAAAAAACTCAAGAGGGTGAGAGCGACTTGTACTGCATCAAGCTTAGCTTTTATGCTTCCACTCCCTAGAGTCCTCAGGTCGATGAGACAGCGGGGTTCCAAGCTATGAACCTTGGAAAGGTTCCTCGCTGCTTCCAGCCCTGCAATACCTACCTGCCCGCTGAGTCAGTAGCTACCGACAGGCCCCAGAGGGAACCAACTGCCCCAAAGCGAAAGCGGGCCAGAGCGACGCGGCTTTGCGCATGCGCGCTTCCGAGCGCCGCGAGTCTTCCGGGCGCTCTTTAGCCAATCCCGTCTTCCAGCCGGGGCGCATGCGCAGCCTCGCTTCCTCTGCGCCCTGCGGCGTTTCCGTA